ATTTGTTTTATTTAGTAAAGATTTTTAATTGAAATTCATTTCTCATATATTTAGCAAAAGTCTCTACAAAATCTTTCTTTATCTATTTAAGTAAAGATTCTGAAATCAAATATGTTCTCAACAATTTACCAAAAATCTCTACACAATCTTTTTAAAAATCTCGACTTAGTTAACTTCTGATTTTTATCTGCAAAAAAAAAAATTAATTGTAACAGTTCTCAGAATTTGCAATAAATAATAAATCTAGATGACAAAAAAAAAAGTGATGTAAAAATCGGGAATGTTGATACTACAATTTCTTCTACTTCTTTTTTTCATATAATGAAAATTATTTTTTAGGGATATTTTTAGGCCTGGGCAAAATACCCGGAACCGAATACCCGAACCAAAAAACCCGAACAATACCCGAACCGAACCCGAACCCGATTTTTAAAAATACCCGAATGGGTCCTAACTCCTACCCGAAAAAAACCCGAACCGAACCCGAACCGAATCCAATACCCGAATGTACCCGAATACAAATATACACCTAAAAATATTAGTTATTTTTATTTTTATAATACCCGAAATACCTAAAATTACAATCATAAAACCGAATATATTAGGTATTTTAGATATTTTTGGTTATATTTGGGTAAAGAGTAACCAATGTATTTTCGAGAAATCGGGTATTTCGGTTAGATTTGGGTATATATGAGTTAAAAACCCAAACCCGACCCGAACCCGAAAATATTCCAGGTATTTTTGGTTATTTTCGGGTATTTTGCTTTTTTATTAAAATACCCGAACCGACCCGAACCCGAACCGAACCCGAACCAAATTTTTAGAATACCCGAATGTGTCTTGACCACCTACCCGAATAGACCCGATACCCGAAAAAAAAGAACCGAACCCGAATGGGTACCCGAATGCCCATGCCTAGATATTTTCTTAAAACCTCTAAACAAAACAAAGGGTTTCAAAAGATAGCTTCTCTTTTGGCGGGTGGATCCGCAAACCCGCAACTCTCTACGGGCTTATCCGCATGAACCTGCAACCCGTAGTGGATAAAAATATTATTCAAAAAAAATAACAAATGATGTTTAATTTTACGGGACGGGGTTATATGGTGCAACAGGTTTAGATCAATATTAATATTAAACAATATACTATGGATGAAATCCTAGAATTAAAAATCAAAATTTAATTATAAAATCAGAAACACTAAACAAAATAAACAATATTAACAAAACAAATACAACTTAAAATTTTGCAAAATAATTTTTTAGTTATAAAAAAATTGACCCGCGGTGTACCGCGGGGTAAAATCTAGATTTGGAAGTTAAAGGAGAAATTTTTTTTAAAAAAAATAATAGCTCCGCGGTGTACCGCAAGAAAAATCTTTCTCCTAAACTGAGGCAAGAAGAAGAAGAAAGCGAAATGTCGTTTAAGTGTATATATAGATATACCATTTAAACCTAAAACACAATTAATATACTCAAAATTATTAATATAGATATATGGATGGTACATTTATAAAATAGGTCGAAATATTTTATTATACTCTCTATTAATAAACAAAACTAATTATATTTAGATTTTTTTAAAAAAATTATAGCTCCGCGGTGTACCGCGGGTTCAAATCTAGTATATTACATAGCATAATGATTGGTTAAAACCAAAGGAGATGAATGTGAACCCAAAAATTGTTCTTCTTTCTTCTTTTAAAATTAATAATTTTTAAACTAACAAAAACAATAACATAACATAACCGGGAATTAAACCAATGTCAATTGCTTTTCTTTTTTTTTAATTAATGTCAAGCCTTCTGCTTAAAACTATTCTCGGCCCAGAGCCCATTAGCTCGAATCGCAATCCATATGTTGTGTATTTGTCGAGTAATAATCAAACTAGTCGATAAAAAGGAAATAATCAAACTAGTCGAAAAAAAAAGGAAACAATCAAACTCAAAAAAAAAGGAAACAACTGAAGTTTTCCATTTTTTTTTAATCAATCTTTCGTTATAAATAGTCTCACTCATCTCTTCTTCTTCCTAGAGAAATCAAAATATTTTTAGAGCCCTATTGTTCATCGTGTTAGTCTGATTATGATCACGTTCTTCTCAGCCATTCTCGCTGCGAATCCACCACTAAACATCAAACCCTAACTCAAAATTTTCCACTTCCTAAATCATTCTTACCCTGAACCTTCACGAACCTATCTTTCTCGATACCTAAATCCCTAAAGCAACCAACACATTCCCTGCTAAATTTCTTACCTTGCAAGGCAAGCAATCGAAACACTTGCAACCAAGGCAACTCTTTCATAGTGAATCAGGAGACCGAAAATCTCACAGACCAACGCCGCCGGAACCGTAACTCGAGAGAGGTCTCGTGTTTAGTTTGATCAATCAAGGATGATTTCAGGTTATTGGTAATTCGTTACTCTGCGCCTTCACCGGCGGATTCTACCGATATATAGCGAAGAGATGGACAGTGATAGCGACGACAAGGTTTTGGGGGATTTCGATGGCTCGGAGGATAATGAAGTCGCGTAAGGATAGAGGATGAAGATGGATTTAATTTCTTTCGTCTAATCATTAGAGTCAGGTTTGCACCTTTTTCTTACTTTCCTTTTTTTTGTTATATAATTATTTTTAGCAAAAAAAGATTTTGATTTAATTAACCTGATTGATTTTTGGTCCAAGAATTTTTTTTTTTGATTTTTTTTTTAATCTTACGTATTTTAAAAAATTTGGATGATAAATTTGCAATATGATATGAAAACTAACCGGATTTTGGATCCCGCATTTGTCGTTAGAGATTCCAAATATTCAACTTGTTTTTCCTATCATTATGTAGATTTAGCATTCAAGTTTTTAATTCGAATTTTTAAAATTGTAATTTTTAATTAAAAATTAATAGATTTAAAATATTTATACTTTAACTAAAACAAGGTTTTGAATTTTTTGTCTTTTTTTCTTTCTTATGGATTTTAACTTTCTTTTAAAAAAAGAAACTTGGATGATAAATTTGCAATATGATATGAAAACTAACCGGATTTTGGATCCCGCATTTGTCGTTAGAGATTCCAAATATTCAACTTGTTTTTCCTATCATTATGTAGATTTAGCATTCAAGTTTTTAATTCGAATTTTTAAAATTGTAATATTTAATTAAAAATTAATAGATTTAAAATATTTATACTTTAACTAAAACAAGGTTTTGAATTTTTTGTCTTTTTTTTCTTTCTTATGGATTTTAACTTTCTTTTAAAAAAAGAAACTTGGATAATAAATTTGCAATATGATATGAAAACTAACCGGATTTTGGTTCCCGCATTTGTCGTTAGAGATTCCAAATATTCAACTTGTTTTTGTATCATTATGTAGATTTAACATTCAAGTTTTTAGTTCAAATTTTTAAAATAGTTTTTAAAATTTTGATTTTTAATAAAAAAAATTAATAGATATTAAATATTTATACTTTAAGTAAAAAAAGGTTTTAAGTTTTTGTTTTTTTTTCTTTCTTACGGATTCTAATTCTTTTTTTAAAACTTGGATAAGAAATTTGTAATATGATGTAAAAACTAACTGGATTTTGGATCCCGTGTAATGTAGCATACAAGTTTTGTGGTGTCATAAGTGCAAACATGTTTTCACATATTTTAAATTTAATACTAACTTAAGTTTTAAAGGTTTTTTACAAATAATATTATTGTTTTAAGTAAATTATTTTGATGTTTAGCTAAAAGCTTTTATTATACAAAATATTTTTATTTCTAGAAAAATCTAAATGTTAAAATTTTCATACGTTGAAAACTAACCGGAATTGGCATCATATCTTTTTGATCCGTAAATTTTGTGATGTTAAGTTCAACATGTTTTCACGTATTTTAAATTTACATTTAGTTAAGTTTTAAAGATTTTTTACAAATAATGTTTTAAGTAAATTGTTTTGATTTTTAACTAAAAGCTTTTAATGTAGAAAATGTTTTTATTTCTAAAAAAATCTAAGTGTTAATTTTTAATACGTTGAGAACTAATTGGACTTAGCATTCTTTCCGGCTTCACTAGAAAAGAAATATTAAAAATGACAAAAAAGACCAAGCAAGGATGTCATAATGTTGGCTCAAATTGATGTATGAGGGGTCATTACAAGGATCAATATCCAGTTTAGCTGAAGTATCCTTGGAAAATATTTAAGCTTGCAAATACATATTTTAACATTAACCGAGTCAGGTGACACCCTCCTTTTAAGTTTGGTATGTAAAATGGTATGTAATAGACGCGTATTAATACCAAATGTGATTATTTACTCGGGTTTATATAGCTAGTCAACGATCAAAATCGATGGTACATCGAATCCCTTAGTTACAATAAGAAATCAAAACTATAAATAAAGCAGAAAACTTCTGAAGTAGGGGAAAAGGAATTCAAACTTACAAGTATCAAAAAAAGAAGTTACTCTTCTCCCCAATTTTACTTCAAACAAAAAGAAAAATAAAAACCCATCTAATTAGGTCGTGAAACGTTATCCACATTTCCACTACAAAAAACCACCACCACTACTTCCGGAACTGACGACTCCTTCTCCGCCGTTACTTTTCCGGTTTCAACATCCTCCTCATCAGCTTCGTCGATTTTCGGCATTATCCTTAGACTATTATTGCCACTACAACACTTAACGGCTTCTAAAACGTTATCTTCATAGCTTGTTTCTGCACCGTCATCATCTACATGTTTGCCCCATAACACGGCGTAGACTCCCACCGTCAAAACAACCACTCCAATAACCCTGAAAAAATCAATGCCAATTCCGGTTTAATTAATTAACAAGACAGATCCAAGACTAAATCGAGTATATATATATATATATATATATATATATATATATATATATATATGTCATACTTAACCGGTTGTTGTTAACGTACCCTCCAAGGTAGATTCCTTTACCGAGAACGAAGAAGCTCATGATGGAGACAATGACGACGACAAGAGGGTTAAAAGCAGTGACAAAGACCGGTCCTTTTCGCTGCATCATAAGTCCTTGAACGTAGTAAGCTATGCTCGATGACATTATTCCCTGTAACCGTTACCAATCACAATGTAAGTATCAATATTTTTGTAAACTGATCATTTTGTTATATGTAAAAGTGGCATGAAATGAAGGACGAACCGCGTAGGCAGAAGCAAGAAGGTTCATGTCAAAACCGATGTTTAAAGCGGAAGGATTGTGTTCCATTACGAAGGCCAGGGCTAAAGACTGTAACGTTCCCATGAAACACACCATTGTTGACAACGAGAGATGGGCTGAGTATTTCTTCAAAGTCGCAGCCTAATTAACAAAATATAACAGCCTAAATCGTTAGATCTATCTTTTTATATACTAGGGAAAAGGTTTAAAAAAATTTCCAATCATATTTTACTACATCATAATTTTTACCTTTTAGTAATTATTTTAGCTAGATACAGTTAACCTAATCAAATTAAAAAAATTATATAACATGAAAATTTAGAAACAAGATCCCAATAACATATAACATGGTCAGGTGTATACTATAACCTATATTTTCCTATTTTGATGGAAAATCTACAACTAGAGCCAAAACTAATCCTATAAACCTAAAAAAAAAAGGATTCTATTTACTCTTTAAACTTTTATAGTGATAGTTAATTTGTTTTTTTAGTGATAGTTAATCTAATTCATGATGTAAGTAGTGAGTTATTTAAAGAATTGATCAATAATTGTTATATACCTGAAGAACAAAGAACGAAGCCCATGAGAGGGAAGCGATGAGTAGGAAGACGGCAGCCTTAAGATAGTCAGCCGTCGGAGGCGAGGAGGCGGGGGTGAGGTGAGATCGGAAGAAATTAATGAAAGGACCTTTGTAGAATATCATCAATATGGATCCAACCACTGTCACTAAAGTCCCCATCACTTTTACTAGGCATCTTACTTTTCTCATCTCCACTTTCTCCATCCTTTAAAGAAAATTATTTACATAAAAATACATATCAATATTCATAATTTATGACATCGTCATACACTAATTGTACTATACATCTACTTTTGAATTGGTGCATATCCACGTACCAAAATATAATAAAACGTGTTTTTCCCTTCTATTTTTTTGGTTAAAATGTAAATAATAAAATCGTTGCTTTTGTATGTTACCTGAAAAGTGTGGCAAGGATAATGGTAAGTGCAGGCACGATGTTGCTAACGGCGGTGGAAAACGTCGGTGATGTGAGTTTCAGACCGATGTAGTATAAGTTCTGATCAATCACAGGCCTGTTCAAATTAACCTTATATGTTAGCCTTAATCATAATTGTAACAAAATCTTCTTGATTTCATCAACGGTCCAATTAGAAGACTAACCCGAGAAGAGCAAGAAGAAATATTCGCATGAATATTGGAAACGTCATCTTTGATCTCACTTTCCTACAAAAGTCCCCAATACATAAATATTACTACAAACGCCAAAAAAAATTTTTAAAAAAAATCTAAATGTTTCGAGAATCGATTTCTTTAATTAGAAGAAATATGTACCTTTCGGAGAGAAGAGCGAAGGGTGCGATAGCGGCTGTGGCAAAAGCGTTGCGGTATGCAACAAGAACGTAATGGCTCATACCGCGGTCAAGCACAGCTTTAGTTACTAGGTTCATACCTGCGTATCCGAACTGAAGACAGATCATTGCAAAGTAAGGTTTAGCTGATTCTGACATCCTTAATCCCATCTCAAATTTTTGTTTTTGTTTTGGTTTTAGAGCAAGAAAAAACAATCAAGGTTTTGGAGTTATTTTAGGATACTTGAGGATAAAAAATTGTCAAGTTAGTGTTGTATGTAAGAGAAATGAGTTAGGAAAAGAGAGGAGAGAAACACTTGGAGAATGTGTTTTTCCTAAGAACCAAGTGGTGAGAGGTTCTTTGTATATATAGCATATTATTCGGATATGTTCAGTGTTCTCTGATTTCTTCCTTTGTATTTTTGTTATTTCTTTTTATTTTTAGTGACGTTAGCGTTAATTATTCCGGTTTGATTCGGCATAACAATTCGGTGTCATGAATTCATTATCTCTAAAGTAAGTGGATAAAACATTCTACATATACAATATTCGGTTTATATGACTTCGTGAAACCAATCATATTAGGTAAATAAATCTTGTGGCTACTAAAAATCGTGATTGAAAGTGTACATCAGTGTGGAACAAGTAGTTAACTAATATTAACTCATTTCTTAGCAATTAAAATGGTCTCATGACTCACATCATCATAAGCTAATTACTTTATTTAATATATATTGTAAAATATCTTTTGGTTATGTAATAGTAGAAATTTGACAAATCGACCGACCCAACCACTGCAAAAAGATTGATATAACCCATTGTAATGCTAATATGGGGTTATATACGTGTGGAATGTGACGTATGTCCACTTCTATCCTAATTTCTACACTCATGGTCATAAATCATCGATCTTAAGAGGTTTAATCAATGAAGAAACATAAGTGGACAGATTGACTTCCACGTGGCAGCAATAATCAATTGGGTTCAATCCTACGTACATTGGGACCGGCCCATATGTCAAAACTACATTTCATGTTTAGAAATTTAAGGTGGACAAAATATGTGTTACATGTCTTGTCTATTATCGATTTCGATCTCCACACAAAGAAAAAAAAACCTTAGATATTTTTAGAGTTACAGTAACAAAATAATAAGAGTTATATATGGTTAAAGTTAATCAGAACATGTATATTATTAGAACAAGAAAAAAAAAGATCTTGATATATGTTCTGTTTTGGGCACTACATATAATTTATGTTTGTTCTATCTTGAAAATTTACCATGTTTGTCTATACGTAAATATGTTACATAAGTAGATGTCTAGATAGAATAAAATGTGTCATTTTAGAGAAGAAATAATGTTTCTTTATCAAAAAAAGTTCTTAATAGTTTATTTCTAAATTTGTTACACATGTATATCAGTATATGTGTGTAAAAACAATCTATCTTGAATAAACACAATTTTAAAGAAATTTTTAATATAACTTTTCTTAACTCTTTCTTTGTTATTATTGTATATTTTAGATATTATTTATCTAAATATATTACGTTACGTGTATTTAACTTTAATTTAATTAGTTTCTAGCAATTATTTCAATGACACCTTCATTAAAAAAGAAAAAAGAAAGAAAAAAAGAGAGACTATTCATGTTAAATAAGTTAGTTTGTGTCACCGAACTGTGTTACATATTTCATTGTTTGGAAATTGAAGTAGTCATTTTAATTGATTAATATTATCAACTCTTACAAAATGTAGTCCAAATTAAAGTGATATATATTTACTTGAGTTGAGTACATATGTTTATATATGTGAGTATGTGTGTGTACGTATTTGCATGTCTGCACATCTATACATATTTGCGTACATATCATAGAATTGCGTATCCGAAATGTAAACCACATATATAATACTATATATAAATGCGTGAACAAAAGCTAACCACATAACATAACTCATTGGATTCTTTTGTTTTATTTATATTATATATCCCTATATATTGCATCTTTTATCAGTTTATGTCTGAAATGCTTCACTTATGTTTAGTTGGGCATCCATTATCTCTATAGAATATGCATTAATGTCACTTTAAGTGACAATAGTGGCTTACTTTACTTAGTTGGAGAAGGTTTATGTGAAAATTCATATCTTAAATTTTTTTAAAAGAATAAGATAGATTCAATTGTATTATATTATATTGTGAGAACAAACAGGAATTATTTTTAATGCAATTATTCAGTCTCTAAACTAATCAGAAAATGTTTAATGATCCGATCGGTTACACATCTCGATATCCATCATGTTTTTTTTTTTTTAAAAAATTTAAACCATCCGTCATGTTAATAATTAAGAATTCGATACACTTATCCATATAGAGGGAATGTCTCACGCTTACTCGTCTGAATGTATAAAAACATAGTACTTTAGAAGTATTATGATTGAACCAACTAGTGTTGTACAAATTATATGATGTTGATGATTATTAAACAATAATAACAATAATGAAATGCTTTCACAGATGATCATTCTATGTTATATTCGAGTTCTAGATCATATAAATTTATAATAAATATTAAATACACCAATCACTGTATTATGCATGAACTCGTCATAATAGGACTTGTATTCGTGTATCTAGTGTAAACCATATGTTACAGGTTATGATCAAATTTTTTGTTCCAATTATGTATTGGTCTCTTGCACATTTTAATATTATAATTGTGTGGCTACAAAAATTAGCATCCTTGAGTGTAAAACTTCCAAGTTAAATAAAAAATAAAATAGATGAAAAGGTGCACTTTGTGTCATGCGTGTGTGGATTCCACGTAAATCGAGTCTGGCCGGTGTCAGAGACAAGTGTCAACTCCTTACGATTTAGTTACCGAATCGAATATTTTACGTCTCTGCGATTGGGAATTATATGCGTACACAGAATCCTTCTGACAAAATCTGGCATATGTATCTGACTTCTGATTTGTTACGTAAAAGTCATTCGTAAATCTGATTAAATAACTTTGAGTTTTCAATATGATTCACATATTTCTTCTAAACTCGAATCAATGTGACGAGCTTAACCATGCACCACGGTGTCGGTAGTCTATCTCCACATAAATTTCATATCTTTTTTTTTTAGATGATCAAATCTATTATTTCCTATCTTCTTTTTTTTTTTTTAATTTTTTTTGAAGAAACCAGACATTAATTTAACACCAGTTCGTACAACCAATTTATCATAGATTATGATTTTGTCTAGATTATGATCTAGACGTTATGATCTAGACGCGGTGCACATTTAAATTGCTACATTACTCTTATAAAAATAAGAGATCTGTAGGACTTTTAGTCTGAATTTTAGTACAAACTACCAGATTTCACCAAACCAAAAATGTTTGGGCGATAAATTTATATTGTAATAATTGTATATCATACAGATAGAACTTGTAAATTGGGATTATTCACCTGAATTTTAGTAGTTTAAGAGATCTCGTTAATTATCTTTACTTTAAAATGTTCGGACTATATGTAAATATGAATATAAACTTGTGTGTCTATATGTGTATAGACATAAATAGCCGACATAAATTATACTTAAGATTCTAAATGTTTTAAGGGTGGGTTTTTAAAAAAAATAAAAATAAAAACAACGAATGATTTGATAAGAAATTTGGGAAAGAAAAATAGAGAAAGTGGGTGTGGGTCAAAAGTGTGGGTGCGTATTTGGGTAGTAAAGAGAAATGGGAAAAAAAGAGGGCAACAAATCAAAATGGTCATCTAATCACCCTCCAGCAACTTCATTTCCACACTCAAACTTTTGGGCCTACCCAAAGTTCATGTCTTTTTTTTTTCTTTTGTTTCATCTTTTTCCTTTTTTCTTATTATTTCTTTGATGAAAATGGTATTTTGAGCAATTTGGTAATCTCATTGGACTCAAGTCTCTTATAACTGTGGTGACGTGTGTATATATCAGAGACATTGATCAGATCATGAGTTGTTTTTGAGTCCAAATCTTGTTTTAATTTGAGTCTGTCTCTGTTTAAACTAATTAGTTTAATGAATTAGTTTAAGCCTCACACCAACAACAGACAATTATGACCATCCTAACAAATTAATTGTGCAAACTGAGAGACATGCTTGTAGAAAAGGTCATCTATATCAGACTGACATTTTTTATCAGTGAACATAAGATGTTGACATTGGTTGACTTTGGATGTATAAAAGGTCTTGCATATGGATCTGTCAATAAATAGACTCATTCTCTTTTGTGTTCATGATTAATAATATAAACGATCCAAGTTCAAGGGACTAATCTCTCTTCACAATACAAAAGAAATATTGAGAACATTATGACTGATAATGAAAGAGAAGGGATGTAATTACAAGCTTTTACAGAGAGATTCTATTCTTCTTAAGATGTTGTGAGACTGCTTGAAGCAAAGCATTTAAGTAAGAGACTAAGCTCGTTCTGAGAAACATTTCTTTACATATTTTAGAAAATTAAATTAACTCTTTTGCAAAAACAATTTTTTAACTCAGTTGTATTTTCTTAAACAGCTAGACAAACAAAGTCAATGGTCAAGTTTCCAAGTAGATGACGGCCTCACTCTCATCCTTAGAGTACTTCAAGTCGAAATAGCACTCCTTACCAAACCAAATGTCTAGTACTCCTTTGATTTTAACCTTCCTCAGGTCATTGCTTACCATATCGTAACACAAAATATAGAATTGAGAATGCATCTTCATCGGTGCCAAGATAACCTTGCCATCTTGAGTTGTACCTTTTACGATCAGTTCAATGTCATCATGGACTAAATGCTTTTGACAAGGCTTTAAAAACAGCCTCTTCTTCGACCATTCCTTCTTCCCAGCGTCTTTCAATACCCATAAATCCACCAAACACTTTTCTTTGAGGTGGGTATGATCGAAAACAGCTATTATCCCATCATACTCTATAAGACCCGCCTTCATCCTAGCTGCAGGCAGAGCCACATCCCCGGCTTCCTGAGGTACTAGGATGGTAGTCAACTCTTCAGACGTCATGTCAAAACTCACAACAGCACAAGTTTCCATATCAAGCCAAGCCATATAATGTACTACCGATCCATTGATAAACTGTCCTACTGTGGCAGGAGCATGAGGATGGTAATTCTCCAGCGGAACAACCTTTCTCCACGAACCTCCCGCCTCTAGTACAAAGACCCAATGCTCTGACTTTACATTTTTGAAAAATGCAGAGGATGTCACAATCGTGCAGACTAGTTTGTATTGATCATTAACAGGATCGTGTCCGATATAATACCGGATATCCTTCCTTTCACCTTGTTGAGCAATGATGTCGGATTTTATAGCGGGTAAGGTCAAGAGCTGTCTAGTGGTGGGATTATAGATACATGCCTTTTTTCTTACTGAGAAACACAACAAGCCACGGACAGCATTCAAGAAGACGCCTCCCATCCCAGTGATGCTCAAATCTTGGTCGACCACATAACAAGTGTTGTCTGGAGACGTTGATGATAAGGATAGCAGCACACGTTGCCCGCCTTGGTCCACTAAACACATGTATACTTGTGGTTGTTGTTGTCGTGTGACAGTAGTAAATAAACGGTTACAAAAATATCGACAAGAGATGAAGGATGACCACTGCTTGGAGATGCACTTGAACCTCACCATGGACTTTGCTGGCAATCTCATAACAATTTCCATCAAGAGATCCGAAGGAATCTCGCACATATATTTTCTCCTTTTTCTTCTCTCTTATACACCAGAAAAAAAAAGGAAAAGACAGCGCCATTATCAGCAAATAAGAGAGATTTGATCTTGTTTTCTTCAGTTTGTACAAGTTTGAGAGAAGAATCAAGCAACATTGTTTATACCTCGTATGATAGGAAATTGGGCTGGAAACAATGCTAATGAGTTATAACATCCTTTTACATCCATTATCTTCAAAGAGACAAAAAACCAAACAGCAATCAAAGAACAAATCAATTGCCCTAGAATTATAACATGAAAAGGGAAGTAAAAATTCAAACTACAGTTCAGTACATAGATCCCAAGGAAAAGCAATGAACTGGCGAGATTGTATTGGAGATAAAGGAAGCGTATTTATACCTGAAGTTGATCGGAATCTCTGAGAGAGACGACGTGGGCAATGCTCTGACGTTCCTCCTGCTCTGACTCCGCCGCTTGTTTCAAATCCCTCCTTCTTCTCTTCATCTCTTTTAACTCTTCAGCTCAAATTTCCAAACTTTTGCTTTTCCGTCAAAAAAAATTGCAAACTTTAACACCAAAATTACAAACAAAAGAGCAAAGACTCCAGAAATCGAAACTAGGGCTTTTGAATTTGTGCAGTCGGAAGAGAAACTAGGGCTTTTGAAATTAGGGCTTTTGTTTGTGAAGTCTTATTATCTCTTTAGGTAAATGTAGAAAAGGTAAAAAGGAATTTAAGGAAATAATAATTAGTAATATTTACATAATCACAAGCTAAGCGTCGGTTCACGTGCTAGTTAACTCTTAACCACTATCCTTGATTGGTTTGGTTCATTCTGTTATAAGCCGTTGGTTCGTGTGCTAATTGACTCTTAACCACAATCCTTAATTGGTTTGGTCCATTCTGTTAGAAAGCAGTTGTCCCTTTTAAACTTTGGCCATATAAACAACAGCAGTCATTCATGAAACCGAGATAAGCATTAACTCTCAAGGCTAAATTCGAATCAGCACAAGTGATGCAACTACAATATCTTCCAGCTGAAAAGATACAACAAACTATAGCAACTACAGAGAGATTGGGTTAAGAAAATGGATGAAGAGAAGCAGTCCAAAAACATTTTGTGTCTTGCTTGATAAAAATGTTTGTTCATCCATTATTTCTTTAACAAAATGAGTTTTGAAGTGAGTATGGAGATAAGTTCAGGGGACTAAATCCAAAATCCAAACTTCTACAAAAAAAAAAGATTATATCCTCAATATGTGACTGCTTGAAACAAAGCATTTAAGCAGGAGACCAATAAAGTCAATAGCATGAAGATAACTTATTCAAGTAAATTAGAAATATCGTTTAACACAATTGTATTCTTAAACGGTTAGAAAAACAGAAAAAAAAAAAAGAGGGTCAAAAGTCTTGGTCAAGTTTCCAAGTAGATGAAGCTCTCACTCTCATCCATAGAATTCAAGTAAAAATAGCATTCTTTATGAGTAGGCCAAAGGCGTGGTACTCCTTTGATTTCAACCTTTCTCAAGTCATTGCTTTGCAAGTCGTAATACAGAATGTAGAATCGAGAATGCATCTCCAACGGTGCCAAGATTACCTTGCCGTCTTGAGTTGTACCTTTTACGATCAATTCAATGTCTTTGACTAAATGCCTTTGACAAGGCTGCAAAACCAGAGTCTTTTTCGACCATTCATTCTTCCCAATGTCTTCCAAAACCCATAAATCCGCGGAACCCTTGTCTTTAAGGTAAGTATGATAGAATATTGCTATCTTCCCACCATACTCTATAAGATCCGCCCTCATCGTAACTGCAGGCACATGCTCATGAGGTGCGATCTCCCCAGGTACTGGGATGATAGTCATCTGTTCAGACCTAATGTCGAAACTCACAACCACACAATTATAATTATCAGGCCAGGCCATATAACGTACTACTGATCCACTGGTAGACCGTCCTAGCGGGGAAGGGGCATGATGACGATAATTTTCCAGTGGAACAACCTTTTTCCATGAACCTCCAGCTTCTAGTGCGAAGACCCAGTGCTCTGACTTCAGATTAGCCAAACGTGGCAATGGCGAGGATATCGCAACCGTGCAGACTAGTTTGTATTGATCACTAACAGGGTCGTGTCCGATGTAATACCGGGTAAGATGCTTCTTTTGACCTTGTTGAGCTACGATGTCGGATTTTATGGCAGGTAAGGTCAAGAGTTGTTTGGTGCTGGCCCGGCCCGCTCATAAAGCAGCCAAAGCATGTGTTTTAGGCCACAAAATATTAGACATTTTTTAGGGCCACATGTTAGAAATCTTTGTTTGGTCAGTTGGTCATGTATTTAGTAGTTGAGTTACAAGTTGTGAGTTCGAGTCTTTATTTTTACAGTTTTTTTCTTTTCGTTTTTTTTTCCCTTTTATGGTTATTTTTTGTTGTTTTTTTTCTTAAGTATGCTTTAGGCCACTAGAATCCAAAGACCGGCCCTGGGTGCTGGGGTTATAGATACACGCCTTTTTACTACGGGAGAAACACATCAAGCCACGAACAATGTTCAAGAAGAAGCCTCCCATTCCTGGGATGCTCAAATCTTGGTCGACGACGACATAACAAGTGTTGTCTGGAGACGGTGATGATATAGATAGAAGTATACGGTGCCCGCCATCATCCACTAAACACATGTATAGGCGTGGTTGTTGTCGTGTGACCGTAGTAAATAAAAGGTTGCAAAAATATCGACTAAAAATAAGGGATGACCAGTGCTTAGAGACGCACTTGAACCTCATCAGGGACTGTGTTGGCAATCTCATTAGAATTTCCAACACAAGATCCTGCATATCCTGCAGTAACTCACATATATGTTCTCCTTCTTTCTTGTTGGGTGACGGCTACACCAAAAAAGTAGCAAATAAGCACGATTCAAACTTATAACATGAAAAACACAAGTAAAAATTTAAACTTTAATCAGTACATACATAGAAACTAAGCCAACCTTTAGAGAGAAATATCCAAAGAAAGAAACGCTACGAATTGGCGAGATTGCATAAAAAGTGCGTATAAAGGAGGCGTATTTATACCTGAATTTGATCGGAATCTCCGAGAGAGACGACCTGGGGAATTCTCTGACACTCCTCCTGCTCTGACTCCGCCGCTTGTTTCAGATCCCTCCTCCTTCTCTTCATCTCTTTAGCTCTTCAGCTCAACTTTTATTCAAAAACAATCCAAACTCCAGAAATCGATGTTAGGGCTTTGATGAGATTTCTACGTATTTATAAGAGCAATACTCGGGTTCATCCCTTTTATTTTAACCAATCAAAATTTGCCAGATAATTAAATAAGTAATTCATTTAATTATTAAATCTAATCTCTAACCATTCTATTGTAAACCCAAACCGATATAATCTCGTTTAATTACAAAATCTAAACTCTAATTCTTCTTTGTAAACCCAAACTGCTATTTAAACTCGTTTAATCGTAAAAAATCTAAACTCTAATCGTATTTTCTAAACTCAAACCGACATTTAACCTAATTTAATTGTAAAATCTAAATTTTTTTATAAACCCAAACCGATATTTAACTTCGTTTAATCATAAAATATAAACCCTAATCGTACTTTCTAAACGCAAACCGACATTTAACCTCGTTTAATTGAAAAATCTAAATTCGTTTATAAACTCAAACCGATATTTAACCTCGTTTAATCATAAAATCTAAACTCTAACCCTTTATAATAAACCCAAACCGATACATAATTTCGTTTTAGTAGCAAATTAGATTTTATAATTAAATAAAAAAATATTATTATTATTAAGTGACAAATTCTAATTAGTTGAAATAAAGGGGGTGAATATAATGGTTTACCCTAAGTATTCTTCTATTTATAATCTCTCTCAACTCTCTTAAGACAAAAAGGTGCAAATAATTGTAGAAAATGGAAAAGGTAAAAAAAAAAAGGAAATAATAATAATAGTAACATAATCACAAGCTAACCGTTGGTTCATGTGCTAATTGAGTCTAAACCACTAGCCTTTAGTTGGTTTGGTTCGGTCTGTATTGCCTAAAAACCTATAATCCCTCGGATTATTAGACATCAAGATAAAGGAGAATTCAAGCTGACAAATTGATCCATATCCTCAAGTTGCTTTTGGTAGAGCATGGTGGTGCCAACGGTCTTAATCAAAGAATCAAGATCAACAGATTTTGAAGAATCTTGCAAATTGTTTGTTAAGAGCATCTTGTTGTCTGTACAAAAGATGGTGGAGAATGAAGCAGAGTTTAAAGATAGGCAGCTTCTCTTTTGTGTTCTTGATTCATAAAACAAATCCTTTTAACCGAGGCAGAAGAAAACCCAGGACAGATCATATAGAAGAATGTGAGTGATCTCCCATCCTTACTCGCTGCAGTTGAGAAAAGGCGTGCACCCTCATCAACTACAAGCACATCATGATTATACAAGGTAGAGATTAAGTTCCAGACAAATTTGTTTGTCTGTGCACAAGATTGTGCAGAAAGAAGTGAGACCAAAAATAGAGTGCTTCTCTTTTGTGTTATTGATTCATAACATTATAACTGTTAATGAAAGATAATGGATGTCATGCAAATGTGACTGCGTGAAGCAAAGAATTTAAAGTAGAAGACTAATTTTGCTCCCCCCAAAAAAAAAAAAAAAATATGAATGCAGTAAAAATAACTTGACTAAACTGTATTCGTATCTGCTACACAAACAAATTAAAGTCAATATATAGTATTAGTCAAATTTCCACGTAGATGAAGCTCTCACTCTCATCCACAAACTTCAAGTCAAAATAGCATTCTTTATGGAACCAAAGGCGTGGCACTCCTTTGATTTCAACCTTTCTCAAATCATTGCTTTGCACATCATGAAACAGAATGTAGAATTGAGAACACATCTCCAACGGTGCCAGCATAACCTTGCCGTCTTGAGTTGTACCTTTTACGATCAAATCAATGTCATGGACTAAATGCCTTTGGCAAGGCTGCAAAACCAGCCTCTTATTGGACCATTTCTTCATCCCAGCGTCTTTCAATACCCATAAATCCACGGAACACTCGTCTTTAAGGTAGCTATGATTGAAAATAGCTAATTTTCCATCATACTCTATAAGATCCGCCTTCATCATCAGTGCAGGCACAGGCACATCCCTGATTTTCTGAGGTAATAGGAAGGTAGTAACCTCTTCAGACATAATGTCGAAACTCACAACCGCACAATTGTACAAATCAACCCAGGCTAGATAATGTACTACTCCATGGATAGACCGTCCTGCTGTGGCAGGAGCATGGGGATGATAATCTCCCAGTGGAACAACCTTTTTCCAGGAACCTCTAGCTTCTAGTGTGAAGACCCAATGCTCTGACCTCATGTTTGCAAACCATTGCGAGGATATCTCAATAGTGCAGAATAGTTTGTATTGATCATTAACAGGATCGCGTCCAATAACGTATTGGGTACTCTTCAGTTGACCTTGTTGAGCTGTGATGTCGGATTTTACGGAGGGTAAGGTCAAGATTTGTTTGGTGCTAGGGTTATAGATACACGCCTTTGTTCTGAATTGGAAACACATCAAGCCAGGAACAGCGTCCAAGAAGTAGCCTCCGATCCCTGGGATGCTCAAATCTTGGTGGACGACTACAAAAGAAGTGTTGTCCGGTGACGTTGATGATAGTAGTAGACCTTGGTTGTCTTTCGTCACTAAACACATGTATAGACGTGGTTGTTGTTGTTGTTGTCGTGTGAGTGTGACGGTAGTAAATAAACGGTTGCAAAATTATCGACAAGAGATGAGGGATGACCACTGCTTTGAGACGCACTTGAACCTCATGAGGGAGGTTGCTGGCAATCTCATAAGAATTTCGATCACAAGATCAGGAGGAGTCTCGCACATACCTCTACCTCTACCTCTACCTCTTCCTCTTCTTTAGATCTTCTGATTAATCACTTCAATAACAACTTAATATAATAAGAAAGCTCTTTATAATAAAGCATAAAACCCTAAAATCCATAGAATATTTTAGAAAGTTCTAAAAATATATATTAAACTATAAATCTAAATAGTTAAATAAATAATAATCATATTTGGAAATATTTCAAATATCTCGATGAATCAGGTCTTGCGGACCAAGAAAATATTTGTCCTCAAATTTTGTATCTCCCCTGCATCAATGAGGCTCTCACTCACATCCATAAACTTCAAGTCAAAATAGCACTCTTTATCAAACCAAGGCTCTGGCACTCCTTTGATTTCAACCTTTCTTAAATCATTGCTTTGTATATCGTAACACAGAATGTAGAATCGAGAACGCATCTCCACTGGTGCTAAGATAACTTTGCCGTCTAGAGTTGTACCTTTTACGATCATCAATTCAATGTCTTGGACTAAATGTCTTTGACAAGGCTGCAAAACCAAACTCTTGGTCGACCATTTCTTCACCCAGCGTCTATCAATACCCATAAATCCACCAAACCCTCTTCTCTAAGGTAGGTATAGTTGAAAATAGCTAACTCTTCAGACATAGTGTCAAAACTCAAAACTGCACAATTGTACATATCAATCCAAGCTAGATAATATAGTACTCCATTCATACACCTTCCTACTGTGCCAAGAGCATGAGGATGATAATTTTCCAGTGGAAAAACTTTTTTCCACAAACCTCCAGCTTTATCTAGTTGGAAGACCCAATGCTCTGACTTCAGATTACACAAATATGCGGAGGATACCATAATCGTGCAGACTACTTTGTACCGATCACTAACAGGGTCGTGTCCGATATAGTATTGGATTTGCTTCTTTTGATCTTGTTCAGTTATGATGTCAGATTTTATGGCTGGTAAGGTCAAGAGTTGTTTGGTTCTAGGGTTATAGATATACGCCTTTTTTCTAACTCTGAAACACATCAAACCACGGACAACGTTGGCGGAGTAGCCCATCCTTGGGATGCTCAAATCTTTGTCGACGACCACAAAAGAATTGTTGTCTGGAGACGTTGATGATAGCAGTACACGTTGGTTGTCTTTCGCCACTGTATAGACGTGGTTTTTGTTGTCGTCTGACAGTAAATAAGTGGCTAAAATATCGACAAGAGATGAGGGATGACCAATCCTTGGAGACGCACTTGAACCTCATTAGGGACTTTTTTGGCAATCTTATAAGAATTTCTGTCACGAGATCCGGAGGAATCTCACAGTCGTGCTTCTTGCACATATGACTTCCTCTTCTTCTTCCCTTCTTCTTCATAGTTTTACTCATTCTCTCTCGTTGGGTGACTGCTAAACGAAGAAACAAACCCATCGTGTTGTTCCACAGATTCACACAAGCTGGCGCCGCTACCCACAAAACAAATTTATATTAGAACCCTAGGCATGTTCTTATTAGGAAGAGGAAACTTCCACATCACGGAAGCAACTTTTCTAAAAGGAAATAATCCTTGCTAGATGTTGACAAATATTTCCTTTTTTAGGAAATCGCTTGTTTTAGCAATTTGCGACATCGTTCCTCTCTATTCCTTTCTTTTTGAGATAAGTTTTTAGACATACTAATTGAAAAGTTAAATACATTTTTTACAGTTAAATACTTTTATTATACCCAACTAAAATCAAAAGTAAATTATTCAATTTTTTATAGAATAATAATTTGGATTTTAGTTTCAAGCTCTTCATGTAATTTTATCAGATGGATTGATACGTAATCAATAAATTATTGTAAATACTATTCTTGAGTTGGATTCATAACTGAAATTGTTGCAGATTTTGTTTTAAAATTTTTAGATGAATTAGAAACGTATTCATCCCAAAATTTTAGTTTTTGAACCTGTCTGACATCTTTAGCTACTAGATTTTAGACAGAACAAAATCCGTCTTAGGTCGTGTTCTATTGCAAGTCGCGAGCGACAGCTTCCGGCGACTAAAAATTACACTTCATTTCTTTTATTTCTGTGAGAGATTTTCTTCTCTAGACTCTCTATCGCTCGTGATGGTGTTACTGTTGTAATTTTCAAGCCAAAGCGGCAACTCAACATCTCTTCATCTGTCATCGGCTTTCACATGTAACTTGTCCCTCGCTTGAGATTTAATTAAAAGTGAAGTTGTTTTTAGAGTCGCCCACTTGGGTGGCCGGCACACAAAAGAACACGGCCTTAATATTTTAAAAACCTACATATTTGGTGAATACACTTTTGTCTGATGATCAAGTGTCAAAGTCAGTGACGATAACAGTACTATTGATGTTATACCAAATACATCTCTATACAGTCGAAAACTGAGAGAACGAGACAAGATACATTCCTGTTAATTAAAGTATTCAGAACCCAACTTCCACTCATTTACAAGAGATCTAAACCTAATTTTAATATCTTATGGGTTCGATATAGCCGCCCATCAGGTGCTTAGTGATTAATTGAACCTGCAAAATGCAAAATACAAAAGTTTGCTTTATGTTTCAGTGATCTAACTAAGCTGTTTTAAGAAAAAGAGATTTTTAGACGAAACTGATATCTGTTACCTCGGAGATCGTCTTTTCGTGTTGGACTATTTCATTTCTCCACCTGCATCAGACTTCCTCCTGTAGAAGAGCACATAAGCAGCACCTGACTTCACATCATCCTCGTTTATATGTGATATATGACTGTCATCGAAGTTATACCACCTATTGTCGTCCAAAAGCTGCAGATCATATTCAATATTTAGAAAAAAGAAAGAAAGAAGAAGAAGCTCAGAAGTGGTAACAGAGATCAAGTAAAGCTGCTCGAACTGACCTTGATATGTGCAGTGTAGTGTCCGCTGCCCATACCACCATAATGGTTGGTCAAGGCATAGAGCTCATATAGCTGTGGTTGAGATAGGTTTTTGTTGGCTACATACTTTGTTAGATCTAAGTCATGGACAGGAAAGTTAACAAATGTTTCCAATTTATGCTTCATGGATCTGCTGTATGAGAATCTCTTTAGATGTATGACTAAGACTTCAGGAAGCCTCCACAGATCAAGCTTTTTGCTTGCCTGCCTTCTTTCATTGCACTGTGGACAGAACCTACACAAAAAAGAAGGAAGAAATAATGCCATTGATTGACTTAGCAACTAAGTAGAAGACGGTGGCTAAAGATCTACAGCACAATACAGTGTTTTCAACTTCAATCCTTAGTAGACACTAGCAATTCTGAACATCATTATCATCTTTCAGTAACGCGTAGTTCAACTCTTACCACAAACCTGCAAAAATGAGTCTATCACAGAAGAGATTAGGAGAAAAGACTGCTTACCACATTTCGTCAGGCACCAAAGGCTCTTCGCGTAGAAACGCTTCCAAACAGGCATATAAAGAAAGAGGTTCTGAACGAGCCTTCTTGGTAGCAGGTCCATATTTGAGAACTTCAGGCAAACTCTCCAGGCAAGTTATATCATACATACCAGAGAGTTCTGGTGTCCAATCCAAATAAATAGTTACTGTAGCTGATGACGGTAATTTAATAGCTTCTGCTTCATCGTCTGGCAGATTAATCGTTTTATTGTTTTCATCAATGAGTTGCAGGGATAATTTAGAAGCACCCAATTCGGAGGAGTTGCTTTTCTTGGCTTTTTTCAGTCCATCAACTTTATCTTCTTCCTCAGAATTATTAAATCGAGCTGACCTTCTCTCGGGGATACTAGAATCAGAATTTCCTCTTTTGCCCACAGATTCTTCCCTCCGAAAAGGTGAAAGCATATTCTGGATGAGGCAATGGATTTTTCCTTTGGTGAGTGCATCTCCACGTGAAGCTGATGAGAGAAGGGGTGTTCCACAGGGTTTCAATTGAACTGTACTTTCGCGTTCCCCAGCTTTCCTGAAACATGGTACAATAAGATGATAAAGAAGAGAGCAAACAGAAGATAAAATATCATCCTTTCTCAGATCTGCATTCATCAAGGATTCAAAAAATAGTCAGAAATATAAGGCTGAGGGAAGTGAGAGCACAAAGAAAAGAAAGTCTTGAAGTTGTAAGAAAGGAAATCCAAAGATGTTGAGTACAGAAGAGGAACTTTGCTATCTCAAACTAATCCCCAGAATTAGTTCATACAAATTAGACTGAGATTTAACTTACTGATCTCTGCGGCGAAGTACTAGTCTAAGCAAAGTCGTATTCTCCGAAGACTTCGAAAGTTTGTATGCAGCAAGGTGATCATCGTCTTTGATAGTGGACAATGGAATTAAAGGGTCTTCAAATAATCGATGGATAAAATTATTCCGAATCTGCGAAAAAGATAAAAAAATTAGTTAAGAGAAGCCAAAAGACCGACATCTTACTAAAAATGCACCTGAAGCCACAAACCTCTGCAAGTTTCAGCTCTTCACTTTGCTTCAAGGAACAAGCACTTGTTAATGCCTGAATCAAGTCTCTGCAACGTCCCTGCTTTGAAACATTGACTGTGATAGTGGAAGGTAAGGCAGTTTTATCACAAGAAAAAACTGTGACTGTTATTGCTCGTGTTGTGTTGAACTGAAGCGGCAAAGACAGGTACATGAAGGGGTCAAATGTTACAGAAACCTTGTTGCAGATTGGACACACCAATGTTGACTTATATTGGCCCTGTGAGGTAAGAATCAGAGTAAGAGAATGAGATTCCCCACATTACTAAAAATTTGAAACCAAAACAAAAAATAACAATATACCCTAAGTCTGAATCACAAGCTAAAAATCAGCTACATAGAAAGCTGATACATGATGGATGTGCACTCACACAACCGAGATTAACATAAATATCAAGACTAAATTCAATAAGCACAGAGAGACAAGTAATATACCCATTTCAAATACCGCGTTTCTGTGAAAATTGCAAATGTATTTTTACTAGGCCAATTTAACTCTTTTTATATAATTTACTTTCTACAG